CCTGTGACAGCGCCCGCCCGCCGTGCGCCCCGGGCCGCCCCGCCGCCGCCGCCGCCCGTAGCCGCCCGCAAACGCTCCCTGGCGACCCGCTCTAAGCGCGGCGACGACCAGGGCGCCCCCGCCAGCCGCGCCCCCGCTGCCCGCCAGGCGCCCCGCACCCAGGTAGGTGCAGCTAGAGCCCCGGCCCGCTTTGTCCCGGCCGGCAAGGAGGCGCGCTTTGTGCGGCCGCGTGCAGGCGGCGGGGTCGCTCCCGGGGAGCTCAGGAGGGAGGATGCGACGCCCAGTGCCCGGGTCCTGTGCGGGCCAGCCAGGTACCTCTGTGAAGACCGAGGAGGTGGGAGGGAGGTCGAGGCTTGGGGCAAGCGGACCTCTGTGGAGCGCAGAGAAGAGTCTGGAAGAGTTGGGCTGACAGACGCGTTGATGGATCGGGGTCGCTTGGGCTCGGAGCGCTTCAGAAAAGCGCAGGCTTTTTCGCGGTGCGGCGGTTCTTGCCGGCCGGCGCCGGTCGTGGGACTAGGGAAGCGCTAGGGTCTGCCCCGGGCCTGTGGATACCTGGCTTCCTCTAGCTCCGCAGCTTCTTGGCAATTGGCTGTGGAGCTGCGTGGGCTTCTAGAACCTCACCTCTGTGGTAGCTAGGTCCATGCTGCCCTTTAGGTCTCGCATTGGTATGAGAGGTGGACACGGTTAGGGGAGATGGTTGTAGCGGTCAGAATAAAACCTCTTGAGGCAGCGAGGAAGCGTTGTGTAAGGTGTTTCTGGGGCCCTCTACATTTATTTATAGGGCTGTGGGGTCTGCCTGTCACACAAGTGCCCGGCGAGGCTGCCTGGCCGGGGTTCCAATTCCAGCTCCGCCATCCACTCTGGCTCCAGCCTCCTGCACCCCAGGAGCCCATGACACTGCGTGCTTGTCTGAGATGCAGGCTTGCCTCTGTCCTGACATGATTTCTCCGTAGGCTGTTTCTGAGCTGCCTTCCCCCATTACAGTTCCGACTTTGTTAGCCTGGCTTCGTAAGCATTGCCAGTCGATATCCACAGCCCAGTTTCTCTTGAAGGTGAAGAGAGCAGGGTGAGTTCCAAATGTGTATGAGTGTATCTCATCTTGAGCGTGGGGCAGCCCTCTCGGCATTTTGAGAGGAGCCCAGGATCAGCGGTGAAGGAAAAACTAAGATGGAGCTTAGACTTTTCTGGTAAAGAAACTGATGTAAGCTCAAGCTTAGGGACGGGGGTGGTAAGGGAGGGGAAGTGAGTATGAATAATTATGCCCCGGGTGTAGGATTTTTCGTTTATTTTTTTATTTTTTTAGACGAGGTGATCCTCCTGCCGCCTTCTTGGGTGCTGGGAATTACAAGTGTGCGACACCAAGCACAGCCTAAACCGCAAAGAGCCCAGCTACCAAATTTCTCACTGCACAGTCCTGCGCTTTATCAGGAACACTGCCTCGGGGAAAGGTTGGCATTTGGTTTCCTTTTCAAACCTCTTCCTTGGCCCGGAGCATCTTTCTTCTGCTTCCTTAAACACAGTGGGTTTCACTGCGATTCTTTTTCCTGTTCTCTCCCTGCCAATCCATCTATTTATACTTTGAGTCAAATGAGGTTTTTACTTTGCCAAAGTCCCTCCCTATCTGTCCTAATGTATTATTCACCCTCTGGTCATTTATTTAACTCTGACTTCCTAAGGCTGTTCAGCCCTGCTCTCCTTCCTCTAGGTACCATCAGTTCAGTTTGATTAGCTTTAGAGCCCACTTCATCTTCATTCTTCCTCTGCCCAGGCAGGGGGCTCTCGCTCCTGTCCTGAGGGGGAACACATGTTTTAGTTTAGCTTGGGATAGGGCCTGAGCACACTTAGAAGCCACCCGCAGTCACACTCACCCCTCACACCTTGTGCCTTCTCAGTCCTCAGAGCGTCCCTAAGAGGTCCAGCTGGTTGCCTGTCATCTTTGGACATCAATGGCCCTCTGAGTATAATCCCTCCAGGAGCCACAGGGAATGAGTTAGGTATGCACATTCCCAGGCCCATTCCAGATCTGCCAGACCTGAAATGGGGAGTGGAGGAGAGGCCCAGCACTCAGGTCATGTGATTTGTATTTGAGACTCCTTATCCCTGAAAATCCCCCAGCAGAGAAGCAAGTCCTTTCTCCTCCCCTCTCCATTCTTTCCATCCCTAAGAAAGACATTGATTCGGGCTCAGAGAGAGAGAGAGAGAGAGAGAGAGAGGACCAATACCCCAGTTCTCAAGAAGTTAGAAGTGGAGCAAGCAGAGAGACATAAACAACTAGCGGTCATAAGAGTGATAAGCACCATAATAGCTGTGTTCAGAGTGCTGAATGCAGCTCAGAGGGGGGCGGCTCGCTCTCTAAGGGAGGTCAAGAAGTAGTCTGGAGCAAGATGTGGCGACAGGAGGAATCAGAGGACAGAGCAGGGCAGGAAATAGGGTTTCTAGTTTTTCAAACTGGTGCCAACGGAGGAAGAGGGAGAGGGAGAGGGTCCAGCTGCCTGCAGGACCGACGCATGTGCAAGCAGAGTCTCTAGCCAGCAGAACTTGGGCCTACACACAGTACTTGGTGGGCATAGCCTCCAGCAGGACCCCTGGCCTCAAGCTAGTGGGACTCTCCTGCTAACCACATAAGCTATCTGAGGTCAGTGGCTAAGAATGAGGGAGTGTGGAACAGTAACCTGGATTAACGGCGGCTCCTCCCTTTTGCCAGCTTCAGCAATCCTTGGAGGAGAATAAAATTGAGGATTCTCCATTGAAGGGATTTGCTAGATTCGTGGAGACTCTTATCCCTGAAAATTCCCCAGCAGGTCATGTATAAGGGGCAGTTCGGGTAGGAAAACGCAAGCAGAAAACTGTAAGACTCTGAAGATGGCGGCTGTTGGGACTCAGAAAACAGATTGAAAAGGATGACAGGGACGGGGGTGGGGTGGGAGGCAGAGCTAGAATGCTTAGAAACTTACTAGCAAGACGCAGAAACAGGGCCTCGGAGCTGCAGAGCGTTGTCCTCGCGATCTGCTGAAGTAAGCCCTGTGGAGTCACAGCATAGTGGCCCATGGAGGGTCTGGGACCCACCTGTGCTGTGTTAGGTCCTTTATCTTTATCATGACATCTTTGGAGATTCGGGTCCCAAAGCAGGTCTAGTCCCAGACTTGATTTGGAGAGAAGAGTGTTTTATGCTCTGGTTTTCATTCAGTGAGACTCTAGCTCCAGACTTTCTCCCCCAAATTACAGGAGTTTATAGAAAGGCCTTACCAGCCAGAGTCCCTGGAAGGGCAGGATCCCATGCAGGGACACTAGTAGATCCTGGAAGGAGCAAAAGGGCACAGTGTGGTCTGCAGAGAAGTAGTCAGTACCTAACGGAAACCATTTAGCAACAAACAATCAAAAACAACAACAACAACAAAAACAGCTCTGGGGGCTGGCTCTAGTAAGTTTGTAGTAGGGTTTGTTTTTTCCTATTAAAAAAACACAATAAAAACTAATGAGGAAGAAACTGTATCTTGTAATGGGAATGCTTTTGCTGGAAGGTCTGTGGATTGGGTTCTAACCGCTTCCTTCAGCTGGGCTGCGAGTAGAGGCTTTGACTGTAAACACAGAGTAGGGCCCAGGGCTTCTGAGTCAGACTCCAGTTTCTTGTTTAAAACTGAAAGTGTTGGGTGACTGGTTCAGGTCATGCCTGGCTTATAATGCTCTTTGCTCCGGGTGATTCAACTCTGCCCTACAATTTAGCTTTATATAAATATTTACAGAGCAAATCCAGTGACTCTGTTGGTACAAAATGATGGGAAAGGAGTCCTAGGCCTAATGGAAATTAAGCTCCCCGTCTATAGGGTAAAACCTAGGGACTAGAGACTAGAGACATTTATTCTTTATAACTTGGCCTGGGTAGCTTTAACTGTCAATGTGATGATGAACCCTTGTCATCTGAGAGGAAAGCCTCCATTAAGGAACTGCCTAGAGGAATTGCCTGTGGACATATCTGTTGGGGGTTGTCTAGATTTTTAACTGATATAAGAGGACTTGGTCCACCCAGGGCAGCACCATTCCCTGGTCCTCTGCTGTATTAAAACAAAACAAAAACTCAGTGTGTGCCTAAAAAGCAAGCCAGCCAGCAATGACATCCTCTGTGGTTTTGCTTCAAGCTCCTGCTTGAGTTGCTGCCCTGTCATCCCTCAGGGATGGACTGTGCCTTTAAATTCATAAGCCAAATAAACCCTTTCCTCCTTAAGTTGATTTTAGTTAGAGGGTTTTTATCACAGCAACTGGAAGGAAAGTTTCATGCTACTCCTGGGAAAATCTTGGTGTGAGTCAGTGGTAGGCAGCCCTGCCCCTGAAGAGGACCAGGTTCAGCTCTTTGGAACCAGCTAATCATAGTAGCCAAGTTCTGCCTTTGTGAGCACAGCACCCTCCCCACCTAGAATCTCCCCACCCAGCCTTCCCCAAACCACATGAGAAGCATCCTCACCCTCTTCTCTCCCAGATCAGTTATTGCCAAGGATACAGCCCTGGCCTACGTACTTAAGTAGTTCTCGAGTTTAAAATGTCTATGTTGAAAGGATAGTAGAAAAATGAAACATGTGGAAGTTAGAGTTCTGTTAAAGGTACAACCCCCCCCCACCTTGATTGGCTGCTAAATGTTGTATTACACAGGAACTTTGAACCTTACAAACTTTCAAAAATATCTCTAGCAGCTAATCTGAAGCTCACATGAGGACAGAGTGTGTTTGCTTAAGTTAAGCTCATGAACAGTACTGGCAAGCATACGTGGTCCAGATCCCATAGCCGGGGCCATAGAAGGCTGAGATGGGTGCTGATCCCTCAGGGCCCTAGGATGATCAGGGAGATGTTAACGTCCTCTGTCTCAGAGGCTGTGATGAAAAGTTAGAGGGGCTGGAAAAGATGGCTCGGTGGTCAAAAGCAATGGCAGTTCTTTCAGAGGACCCAGGTTCAATTCCCAGCACCCACACATAAACTTAGAACCATCTGTAATTTCAGTTCCAGGCAGTCCCGCACCCTTTTCTGATCGCTCTCGGCACCAGGCAAATACATGGTGCATGCAGCATGCACACACGCACGAAACAAAACATCCATATCCATAAAACAAAATTAAAAAAAAAAAATTAAGGTAAGGTGCTCTTTTAAAAAAGTCAGAGGGAACCTTGCTTCAAAACCTAGAACTGAAAACCAAAACAAAGCAGAAAGAACAACAAAACCCTGGTACTGTGGCTTCAAGGTGCACAACCTTGAGCCAGTGGGTTAGCTGCAGCAAACGTGGCTGCTTCATCTGTGAATCAGGGAAGGCGCCCTGCTCATAGATGACAGGGACGTATATCACAACATTTGTTAAGGACTTAGAAAGCGTCTTCTGTAGCAACAAAAAGAACCCAAAAGGTAAGAACTGTTATGCTATATTTAAAAACGATGCCACGCATACAACCGATCTGATATAAAAGAGGTTTATTGGGTGGAGGTGGACAAAGAGAGGGAAGGAGAGAGAGAGAGACATGGTGGCCCTTCCCCCCAGGAAAGAAAGTGAGGCATTGAGAGTGCAAGAAAGGAGAGAGAGGGAAGAGGTAGGGCTCCTTTTATCCCAGGCCCCTGTTGGCGGTAACCAATGATGACATCGCAGGTGGCTAGGCAACCTAGGAGTGGGCTAATGCATTGACTTGTGAACTAACAAGAACCATGCTGTGTCCTCCTATGAACACCCAGACGCTTGCCTCAGAGCATCCATCTTTTTATGTTTCTGTGGTAGATTTATCTCAGCTCTAGAGTAGAATCTGGGTCTTTAATCTCCACTTACCAATAAAGATGACTCAGAACAAGAGTAGAACTGGAGACTAAAAGAACATCATCTTACTGCTGAAGGGGACCTATATCCAGTGCCTGCATTACCCTGAAACCTTTTGCTTCCGTCGGCATACCTGCTCTGCCCTGTAGAACTCTAGCCTGGGGCCTCTGAAGCCTTTCCTTTCTACTCTCTGCTTCTAGGTGCCACCACTTCTTTCCTTCCTTCCTTCCTTCCTTCCTTCCTTCCTTCCTTCCTTCCTTCCTT